TTAGTTATTTTGCCCAAAATTGTGATTATTGCGAATTTGTCCTACACTAAAAATCAATCTCATGATCAGATTATTCGTTTTTATCACAAAATTACTGATCATAGATTGTTAATTCCAGATAGGAGTGTTTGTCGAAATAAAACTAGATATGTACACTTTAATATTAAATTTTCCGTTATCCCGTGGTTTTTAAAAAGTTATTAAGTTTCTGGTCTTTAAACAGTTTGTCATGTTTATTTTAAATACGAGATATATACATATAAATTAATAATATTATACAATTGATAAATTTTTTGTACAAAAAAAAGCATTTAATAAATTTAATATTACACTAAATTTTTAAATTTCATGTATTGATATTGAATCTATTATGCTGAAATCAATAATTTAACCGAATCGGCCTAAAAATAATTCGGCCAGTTTTTTGTCAGGTGTCCCAGAATTTATGAATACAGTTTTTTTGGGTTATGGAAACTAATTAATTAATTTTACATGGCCTTAGCATATTAAGTTATTCAGAAGATCAAAAAATATATATTCGAAAAACTTCTTAGTATATTTTTATTTATCTTGCAAAATATTGAGAACCAAATCTTAAAATTTGGTTCTAAACCAAACTAGCTTTAACTTAGGCTTAGAACTTATTATATAAAAACCTAATTCTTGGGTTTTAAATTTGGAACCTAAGGGTTTAGAACCTAAACCGAACCTAAACCAAACCTAAACTGACTTCACCATCACTAATTTTTCGGTCGTTCAATTCGACGTCTTTTAGCCATTATACGCTCAACTTCATCTTCATGGAGCCCTTCGTTTATCAACAATTCCATCTGACTGGTCTCTTCATCCTCAGGGACAGTGTATGAATATTTTAAAAAAGTGGTTTTTCCATAGTGCTCTGGTGCTCGGACTCTTTCCTATATGACAAGTAAAATCGATAAGAAACAGAGAAAGCACAAATAAATAGTATATCATAATATTACATACTGTTTGTCGCCGACGTTTCATATTCCATCTGACTGCAAAAGGAACATAGACCATTACTTTTTCTTTTGTTTCATCTTCATCGATGTGACGTTCCATGAACAAAAGTTGAGAATTCTTTGGAATCTGATTCTTCTCTGTAATATAATCTCTAACCCATCTATAATTATATTCCTTTAGGATGTTAACATAGTTAATAATCAATAAATGATATAATAAGCGTAAAAAAAAAAAAAAAAAAAAAAGAAAAAAAATTAAAATTAAAAAATTATACTAACTCCATCACAATCCTCAAACGATTTAAGATTTGATAACTTTTCTGCAGTTTCTGAAGATGGAACATACAACATCAAGAACTTTTCACTTCCCGATACTACTGGATTGATTAATGCTTTACAAATTCGCTGCGGTCGATTTTTCCCATGATCCTAAAAATAATTATTAAATAATTATTAAATAATTATTAAATATCTAGAAGATAATTTTATAAGAAAAAGAAATAGATCGAAACACAATCTCACTTCATCATCTTCCAGGGGAAGTCCTTCCCAAGGGTCATTATCAAAACTGGCCTGTACGACCACAATATGTTGATATTCAAATTCTGGTAATATAGAAAGAATTTCTTCTGGTTTTGCTTTCGGATTTTTGGGATGTTCTAGTTTCTTAAGAAATTCGGGATCATTTGCTATTCTAAAGGATTCTTCAATTGCAGCAATCTGTTCTTCATGACTTTGCTCTAAATCCATTTGATTGACTTTTAAAGTGGCCATACTAAATCGAGAACGTTTATATTAATAACAGAAATATAATAATAATCAAATATGGATACACACCGACTTTCCATGGTTTTGTCAGTATTGTCACCCCGATGTACAGTTTCAGATGCACTTATATACTGTGTTCTACGCAGCCATGGTTTTGGGCTATTTGAATGTCTTTTAAGTTGCGCTAATCCCTTGATTACGTTTGCATGATCTTTGGGAGGAACAACTAGACAAGTATCTTTAGAATCGAGTGGACTTGTTCTCCTGGGATTTATATCTGCCGATCAAAATAAAACTAATGTAGAACTAATAATTTAAGAGTGTCTGACAAGAATTTCAACGAACCATTATCATCAACATGAAATGCACTAGGAACAACACTTAAGTCATATGTCATCCCCAAATCGGTGTCACTAAGTAGAGAAAGACGTTTTGTTTGAAAAGTACGTGAAGTCCGATTGATATTGGTTATTCTATTTAGATCCGGTTTCCATGACAGATCCATCGGAAGATCAATTGGAGGAGGAATTAAATGTCGATATTTCAACCCGCACAAATAGCTATAATCCGAGCGTACTTTTCTGTTTTGAACATTATGACTTTAAGACAATAAAAAAAAGGAGAGTTAAATAAAGATATAAACCATGTAAGCAAACCACAATTTTAGAGATAGTTACTTAGGTCTTGCTGACATTGATCTAACTTTAGAGAATGAATTTGATATTAAAAAGTCTAACTCAAAATCGAAATTCTTTTTTATTGGATGTTTTTCAAATGTGATTGGCTGATGTCCAAATCTAGGATTCGGGAAATACAGAAATAAAATCGATATTATCTATTATTTTTTATTAAACATAAACAAGATTACACTTGAGTTCTGGGCAATCTAAGCTCTAAATCTAAATCGTCTCTATCACGTGAAGTGAAGCCTAGTTAACCTTTTGAATTACGCGATTTCTATAACTACTACGTAAATGTTTTACAATGTATAAATAAGAATTCTGTAAGTGGAAATATGGTTATGCTTGTTATGCTTAGCAAATAGCAAATAGCTGTACAATGGCCTCCGAAAGTATAACACGGTTACACGAAAAATGACATTATGCCGAGAACAAGGACAGCCTCTTTGCCAAGTTTTTTTTCTTATATATGTAGAAATAGTTTGAGCGAGGTTTGCACAACTTTAGTTAATTAAGAGGTAAAGAAAAGAAAAGAAGTGAAGGCACTGTTACTACAGTATATCGATAATTCATGTTAATTTTTTTTGAGTACGTACGTACAGTACGTAACCGTGAAATACTTTGGGAAGCCACTAAAACATTGCTGCATTAATTCATGATATGTAAAGTACCGTGTAACGTTTGTGCAGAATCAGATGACGTATTAAATTAAATAATATAACATTATATAACCTATAAGTTTCTTTTATCAGCATTTTATTTCCCACATCAATTCTGGCATACACGATATGACAACTTCAACAAAAAAATTTAGTAGTATTCATCCTAATGAAACC